GCTGTGCGTGCGAGGCGCACCCTCCAGCGGCCGCCGGGTCCCAGTCCCGGGCTCAGTCCGCGCCTCTGTCCTCGCTGGTGTCTCTGAATTTGTCTCTACAACCTGCGTGTCTGTGTCTTGGTGTCTCTGTGTGCGTCTCTCCCCGTCTCTCCCGGCGCCTCCTGGTGTTTATCTCCGCGTCTCAGCGTGTCCCTCCCTGCCCCTCCGCAGTCCTGCATTCCCCGCTCCTAGCCCGGTTGGGCTCGGGGAAGCGAGGCCGCGGCCGGGGGTGCGCAGCTGCGGAGTCCGCGCGGGGGCCTGCGGCAGCGCCAGCCGTCGGTCACCGGCGGGGACGGGGGCCTGCGGTTGTGGCTCCGGACCAGAAAGACAGGCAGCCCCACTCCCCACCATGGGAGCGGGACCAGGGGAGGGGGAGCGGGTAGAAGCAGAAAGAGAAGTAATTGTAATTAATGAATGTCATCATTAACCCTAATTATGGATGATTGTTACTCCTGCGGGAGTCACCGTGAATAAATTACTCCCCGCGAAGGCGGGCGGAGCCCAGACTCCTGGCGCTGAAAGTAGCGGTGGGGTGGGGGGGAGGCCGCCGCTCACACTCAGCACTCCCCCCACCTCTAATCCGTCTGCTCCCTTCCCAAGTTCTAGGTGCTGGCGACTGGCCCGCGAGAAGTTCTGTTTCTGCGGGAGTAACCTGAGCGGGTCTGGGGATGGGGCAGAAAGGGCTGTGCCAAGGGAGCGCCCTGCCCCCTCCCAGACTTCAGGCCAAGACCTCTTCCCTCCCCCTTTCCCCGGTATTTTGTTCCCATCCTGCTCCTGTTCTCCAGAGGCGAAAGGGGACAGTGAGGACCAGAAATGATGGGAGCCTGGGCTCTGGAGGCATGGCTCGCTCTCTGGGCTTCTTCCCACTGTCCCCCTTCCTCCTTCTTCCATCTTGACCATCCCGCAGGAGCTGAGGTTAATTCAAGGTCAAGGTCATCAAGGGAGTGATCGGGAGGAGGAGGCTGTAGGGTCAGGGTGGACTCTGGCAGAGGCACCCCAGGGAGCCCCCATCCTACACCAGGGGACCCAGCGGGTCTCCATGTTCAAGTCTTCACATGCACACCTGACCCTCTATTGCCCCCTTCTAAAAATGAGACTTTGGTCTGTCAGGCCACAGCTGTCTCCCCTTTAGAGAGCCGAGTCTCAGTCTCTCCTGGGAAAGGACTAAGATGTTTGGGTGGGAGGATATTGCTTGGAATATTTGTGACAACTTCTGTCAAGCAGAGGGTCTGGGAGCTGAACCTCACCTAAGTCCAATACCCCTGACCTCGGTTGCCCTCTAGTCACCCTGGGAAGACATACACAGTCCCCCTGCTTGCCTCCAGGGCACTGGGGGCCTTCCCAGGCCCTGCTCTGTTTCCCACACGGAGGCCTGTCCTCTCCAGCCCCCTCTGTGGGAGCTCTGCAAGGTGGGCAGGAGTGCGGGGTGGTGCTGCCTCAGTACTCCAGGAAGCCGCCTGCTCAGCTGTGTGGGGAGGGGCGGTCAAGGCCTGCAGATCGGCACCTCTCCGTCTTCCCAGGTCAGGACCCTCCAATGTTGTCACCTCTGAGTCTGAGCTTGGAGATCCAAGGACCAGGGGAGGGGAGGGGTTACACCTCTGATCGGGCCCCTCTGTGCCAGGCCAGCTGGAGCCCTGGCCCTCCGTCCCTCCCGTATACATCACAGTTGTGAAGGATTCTGCACTAACACAGACTGGGCTGTGGGTCACGTTGGGGGTATTCAGCAGGGCAGAGGTGGGCAGAGAGAGAACTCAGGACCCCTGCTAGCCTTCTTCCATCCCACACCTCAGCCTGGCCCAAAGAAGCTCCTGTCTCCAGACTGTGTGGGTGGAGGAGATGGAAGACAGTGCGGTTGGGTGCTGCCCACCCAGCTCAGTGTGAGGCAGGTACAACAGAGGGGGCCAGTGCCCATTAGGCAGTGATGCCAACATTCCAGCCGCATTCATCAGTGTTGTTGCTCCCTGGGAATCACTGGCCAGCCTCCTGCTTGCCCCCAGGCTGAATCAGCCCTGCACCCAAGCCACTCAACAACCCTCCTAGTGAGTCCTCCTCTCACTAGGGAGGAGTGACTCCCTACCCAACCACATAGGGCCTGCCCATCACCCTTTGTTGCCACCCCTGGGAGGACCACCCCATGCCATCTCTGCTCTGAGTCAGCTTGCACCACGTCCGCCACCACCCACTGCCAGATGCCTCATGCCCTTTCAGGAGATGCTGTGGGGAATTGAGGAAATAAGGGGCCGTCCAGAGTATGGGGAGGTGGGGAGGAAACAGGCAGGCCCGGCCTGTCTCTGGGAGGGGGTTCAGAAGAACAGACTCGGTGGTCCAGGCTCCAAGCTGGACAAACTCTGGGCGCATTGGGAGGGAAGAGTGACCAGGCAGGCCCACTTGCCAAGGTACATGTCAGCTTCTCCCCATGCCAGAGAATGGGTCCCAGGGAAGTGAGGGCACCAAAAATATAGTGGGGGGAAGAGGTGGGAAAAGGTCCTCTCCAGGAATGAGGAGGCCCAGGAGCAGGAATACCTGGCCTGGCTAAGCCAAAATGTGGTTTGGGTAGCCAAGCCAGACGTCTCTGGAGTGGGCAGGCATCAAGTCATTTGGCAGAGATGCCCCAACCCAGACCTGGAGCCACAGTCTGCCATTTGCCAGCCACCCCAGGTGGCATGTCATTCCTTCCCGCTTCTCCACCGCCCCCCCGCCCCCGGGATCTGGGGCTCACAGCCAAGCCAGGGAATCGGCCAGCAGAGTCGGGGCTGCCCTGGTACCCTGGAACATTCTGTTCCAGAGGCCTCTGGTACCCAGCAGAGGTGGCTCTTGGCACTGAGACCAGGGGGCACCAGGAAAGGATACAGCCTGAAGGGTAGGGAGACTTGGAACCTCCTCCAATGATGATTACTATGGAAACAAGGGCCTGGGGATGGGGGGAACATGATAGATGATGTCTTCAAATATTTGAAGGGCTGAAGTGTATGAGAGGGAGTAGCCCTTTCTGGAGCCAAGGGAGGAACAGGGCTGATAGGCGAAAATCCCTGGGAGGCAGGTTTCAGCTCTATATAGGGAAGCACTTTCCAGCGATTGGAGCTGCCCAAAGATGGAATGACCGTCCCAAGAGAATACTTGCTTCCCATCACAAGAGGTGACCAACTCTTGAGAGGGGACGTGGCCAGGGCATCTCAGGGTGATAAGTTGGGGTCTGCTCTAGGTGACCAGTCTTCCAGGTCCCTTCTCACCCTAAACTCTGATTGACCTGATGGACAAGCTCCTGGCACAGCTGAGAGGCGAGGGTGAGGGCCCAGGCAGGGCCCAGTGCAGCAGGATGCTCCTGGTGCTTTGGGCTCAGCAGCCGGAGCTGCTGGTTCAAGTCCTGGCTCTGCTGTTTACCAGCTGAGGACTCCTGGGTAGGTAATTGAACCCTTATGAGCCTCAGTTCCTCATCTGAAAAGTGGGACAGTAATTATCACTACCTCCAAGGGCAGCATCAGGATTAATGAGATGCTGCATATAAAGTGCTAGCTCAATTCCAGTGTTCTGACCACAACAGCCCCTCAGAGTTGTAAGTTTCTGGGGATATTTGGACCTAGAGCCTTGTATTGCTTAGAGAGTGTCTCGTCTTGGCCGGCGCAGTGGCTCATGCCTGTAATCCCAGCACTTTGGGAGGCCGAGGTGGGTGGATCACGAGGTCAGGAGTTCGAGACCAGCCTGGCCAATATGGTGAAACCCCATCTCTACTAATAAAAATACAAAAAATTAGCCGAGTATGGTGACAGGTGCCTGTAATCCCAGTTACTTGGGAGCCTGAGGCAGGAGAATCGCTTGAACCTGGGAAGTGAAGGTTACAGTGAGCCGAAACTGCGCCACTGCACTCCAGTGTAGGCAACAGAGCAAGACTCCATCTCAAAAAAATAAAAAAAAATAAAGAGAGTATCTAGTCTTCCCAGTCTGGCACAGTGGCTCACGCCTGTAATCCCAGCACTTTGGGAGGCCAAGGTGGGCAGATCACGTGAGGTCAAGAGTTTGAGACCAGCCTGGCCAACATGGTGAAACCCCATCTCTACTAAAAATAAAAAATTAGTTGGGTATGGCAGCACGCGCCTGTAGTCCCAACTACTGGGGAAGCTGAGGCAAGAGAATGGCTTGAACCCGGGAGGCGGAGTTTGCAGTGAGCGGAGATCATACCATTGCACTCCAGCCTGGGTGACAGAGTGAGACTCCATCCCAAAAAAAAAGAGTATCTAGTCTTCCCTCTTGGAGGTGGGGAAACTGAGGCTCAGAGAGAAGAAGTGAGGTGATTTTCCTTCAGGTAGCAGGTTTAGTTTTGCCCCCAGCCCCAGCACATCCTCCAGTGACCCGGTGTGCTCCGTGCCTGAGGTCCCTGGACAGAACAGTGGATGGTTCACCTGCCTCTAGGGGCCCATCTGAGCCCCCAGAGCCACACTCAGTCCTGGCTGGCCCAGACCCTGACCTGGGCTGGGTTTTGTGTTCTCATTAATTGTCTCTCCAGCCTTCCACCTCTGCTCCAAGGCCCAGGCATCTGGGGCCTGGAGCCTTGCTTCTCATAGATACACAAAGAAGCCCACAGTGCTATCCAGGAAGCTGGGTTTGGAAGGCATTGAGCACTTCAGTGTGCCAGACACCCCAGGGCTTTGGCCTCCCAGCTGGCACACCAGAGCCTGCCTCGTGCCCAAACATCCCCTCTGCTTCCCCCTCTGTCTTGCTGCCTGCTGGCCTCCCGGAGGCTGGAGGGGCCACCACTTCCATCCCCTTGGCAGGGTGGCCAGGCAGGCAGCCATGGCACACAGGCTGCCCAGCGTGCCAGCTGGGAACCCTGGCCAAGTCCCTCTGCCTGGAGCCAGGCTGCTGGCCCCTGTTTCTGTTTCTGGTAGAAAGGAGTGGGCAGGCGTAAGGCGGCCCTCAACGGGAAGGGAGACAGACGGCCAAGGCTCTGGGTCAAGAGGTTTCCAGACCTCTCTCTGGGAAGACTCAGTAGGGTGTGTTTGAGTGAGAGGTGGAGATAGCTCTGGCCTCACTGCAGAATCGACCCTGCCCTCCAGAACGTAGGGTCCATGGAGAGTCCAGCAGCTGCCTTATGTATTCACCAAAGGCCGCTGACTGAGCACCTACTATGTGCTGAGAGCCTGCGTGGGGATTTGAAGCCAGCAACTGTGCCCATCCTCAAGGGGCTCACAATCTCCTGGGGGAGTGAGAAAAATAACAAGCATCACCTGAGCGGAGGCTGTGGTGGACGTTGGGCCGGATGCAGCGGACACCAGCGGAGGGAGTGGGTCATGAGACAGAATTCCTGCAGAAGACAGTTTCCTGGAGGAGGAAGGGCCAGTGGAAGCACATTGGCAGGATAAAGAGGATATGGACTGAGTGAGGCAGAGAAGAGGACAAACATGTCAAAAACTCAGAGGCATAAAAGCATGGATGAGTTCGAGAATCCTCATTTCTGGGCTGTAAAGGCACAGGTTGGAAGGATAGGTTTGGCTAAGTTGCAAGGAGAGCCTCACGGCTGGGGCGAGAGCCTTGGACGCTGTCCTGAGGAGCCAGGAAGGCATCACCCCGCAACAGCTGTATGGAGGGCAGGTGGAAGCAGGGGGCGGGAGGGGAGGCTGTGGCCTTGAAGCAGGCTGGGGCATAAGGGCCTGAACTAAGGGCTGTGAGGTGATGAATCAATGGGAGGGGAGGGCTAGAGAGACGTTCTGGGGGGAGAATCAGTCCCAAGGATGAGGGTCTGGGACGACCACTCCTCACCCCCCACCAACCTGTTCGAGAACACAGGTGGATACTACGTTGCCCAGGCTGGTCTCCAACTCCTTGGCTCAAGTGATTCCCTCCGGCCTCAGCCTCCCAGAGTGCTGAGATTATAGGCAGGAGCCACCACACCACGCCTATTTTTTTTTTTTTTTAAACTTGAGTAAATGGTACACCCATGCAACAAAATATTTTGTAGCTATAAAAAAGAATGATGAATCTATTTATGTATGGGTATGGAATGATTTCCAAGATTTACTGTTTATGAAAAAAAACAAGGCACAGGAAATATAGTATACTACCATTTCTTCAAGGAAAAATGGAACTAAACCTCTTAAACTTGTTTCTATCCAATTTCACATAAAAGTCTATATTTCTTTTGAAAAATTAGAAAACCTGGCAACACTGGGCTGGCCTTATAGACAAGCCTCAATTGGCTTGAGGAGGTCTGCAGTTACTCCCTGGCCATCCAGTCTGCCACAGTCCCCACCACTCTTGATTGCCCGGCCAGAACCCCTTTCTCCGCGGAGGTCACCCACCGGGCTCTTGTGGCACCTGAGATTGCGAAGCATTGTCAGGACCTGGGGAGCCTCTCTCTTCCTGTTTCATTTCGCTCGGCCCTTAGCCCCCATGCTGCTGCTGCTGCTGGCGCCCCTACCTCCAGAGACACCCTGAGGGGAAGCCCACCGTGGCCAGCCCCCTCTAGGCTCCCACTCACAGCTCCCTCTTCTTCTTAGCTCCAGCGATTCAAGCGTTCCCTCTCCCTCAAGACCATCCTCCGAAGTAAGAGCGTGGAGAACTTCTTCCTTCGCTCGGGCTCTGAGCTCAAGTGCCCCACCGAGGTGCTGCTGACGCCCCCAACCCCACTGCCCCCTCCCTCCCCACCACCCACAGCCTCAGACAGGGGCCTGCCCACCCCATCCCCCTCCCCATGCCCAGTCTCACGCCCCCTGGCAGCGCTCAAACCAGTGAGGCTGCACAGCTTCCAGGAACATGTCTTCAAGCGAGCCAGCCCTTGTGAGCTGTGCCATCAGCTCATTGTCGGTAGGTGCCTGGGCACTGAGGCAGCCGAGGGGAGGGGACGGCGTGGGTGCTGGGGAGTGGGCCCATGTTGCTGCCCAATATATTATTGGGTTCTTGCTGTTCAGGGGCCCCAATACTAACTGTGCCTCTTTTATTTTTATTTTTATTTTATTTTTTTGAGACAGAGTATTGCTCTGTCTCCCAGGCTGGAGTGCAGTGACGCGATCTTGGTTCACTGCAACCTCCACCTCCCTGGTTCAAGGGATCCTCCTGCCTCAGCCTCTGGAGTAGCTGGGACTACAGGCACATACTACCATGCCCAGCTAATTTTAAATTTTATTTGTAGAGATAGGGTTGTGCCATGTTGCTCAGGCTGGTCAAACCCTGGGCTCGAGCAATCCATCCGCCTCAGCCTCCCAAAGTGCTGGGATTACAGGCCTGAGCCATTGCACCCACCCCTAACTGTGCCTCTTACCCCAGGCAGAGAAAGGAGCACCACCAGGCGTGGCGGTATACTCAGTGTCACTGCTGCATTTACTAATGACTCTGGCTTCCGTGCTCCCTCATACTCTAACTGTGTGAGGGGTAGGTGCTGAGCCTCAATGCTGGCACGAGAATGCCCAACCCTTGCTCTCCTCATGCCATAACGTGCCCCTCCTTTGCCCTTTGCCCATGGGGGTGTCCTCAATTGTTGAACCCAAATTTTTCCTAGGAAACTCCAAGCAGGGCTTGCGATGTAAGACGTGCAAAGTCAGCGTCCACCTCTGGTGCTCTGAGGAGATCTCTCACCAGCAATGCCCAGGGAAGACGGTGAGCGGGGACCCAAGCAGAGATGGCCAACTGAGTGCTGCCAGTACTGTCACATGGGGGAATGAGTCTCCCTCGGGGCTGCTCCTTCCTGTGGGGTGGGCCCTGGGCTTGGGAAGGACCAAGTTCTCCATGGGCCATGACCTCCTCAAACCCTCTGTGACCTCTCTTGCCATAGTCCACCTCCTTCCGCCGCAACTTCAGCTCCCCTCTCCTGGTACATGAGCCGCCACCAGCCTGTGCCACAAGCAAAGAGTCCCCACCCACTGGTGAGTGCCGCTGTCACTGCCCTGGCCGCTGTCCCTGCTCCCACTGTGGTGTGATGAGAAATCAACATCCCTGATCATCCTGGCCAACACGGTGAAACCCCATCTCTACTAAAAATACAAAAAATTAGCTGGGCGGGGTGGTGGGCATCTGTGGTCCCAGCTACTCGGGAGGCTGAGGCAGGAGAATTGCTTGAACCCAGGAGGTGGAGGTTGCAGTGAGCCAAGATTACACCACTGCACTCCAGCCTGGGCTACAGAGCGAGACTCCATCTTAAAAAAAAAAAAAAAGAAATAAACATTTCTGAGATGGGTACGTGAGTCACGTTGGCACAGACAGTTCTTGGCTCTCCTACCATTTCCCTTCTCTGGATGCTCCTGTCCTGAATTTGGGGTTCATTCATTCATTTAGTCATCATTCCTTCAACAAGCACTTCATTAAGCACGTACTAAATGCCAGGCACAGTGCTGGACTCTGAGACACAGTAGTGAAGAAGTTGGAATTTATTGTCTAGTAAAGGAGATAGGACTGAAACGGACAGTCATGCAAATCATCAATCAATCACCATCAGTATGAGTGCCTTAAGTGGGGAAGATAGAGAATAGAGCATAGAATGTGTGCTGACAGTTGGGTGTGGTGGCTCGTTCCTGTAATCCCAGCTACTTGGGAGGCTGAGGCAGGAGGATTGCTTGAGCCCAGGAGTTGCAGTCCAGCCTAGGCAACATGGTGAGACCCTGTCTCTAAATTAAGAGAAAAGAAAAAGCTCGCTGTCTTCATCTGCAAAATCAGGGAAGACTTCCCAGAAATGTGAAGGATGAGGCACAAGGGGTTCATCCATTTAGGATCTGGAAAGACTGGTGTGGGGTAGAAGGAAGCCTGAGAAAGGAAGGACAGGGAGTTAAAGAAAGGGCAAAGTGCAGAGCATGGTGGCTCACACCTGTAATCCCAGCACTTTGGGAGGCCGAGGTGGGTGGATCACAATGTCAGGAGTTTGAGACCAGCCTGACCAACATGGTGAAACCCCGTCTCTACTAAAAATACAAAAATTAGCTGGGCATGGTGGCATGCACCTGTAATCCCAGCTACTCAGGAGACTGAGGCAGGAGAATCACTTGAACTTGGGAGACAGAGGCTGCAGTGAGTGGAGATCGCGCCACTGCACTCCAGCCTGGGCGATAGAGTAACACTGTGTCTCAAAAAAAAAAAAAAAAAAAAAAAAGGAAAGAAAGAAAAAGAAAAAGAAAAAAAAAAAGAAAGGGCAAAGTGGCTGGGGCTGAGGGAGGACGATGGAGCGGGGCTGTAAAGAGACCATGGGTACAACTGGGCGCGGTGGCTCAGGCCTATAATCTCAGCACTTTGGGAGGCCAAGGCAGGCAGATCACTTGAGGTCAGGAGTTTGAGACCAGCCTGACCAACATGGTGAAACCCCGTCTCTACTAAAAATACAAAAATTAGCTGGGCATGGTGGCATGCACCTGTAATCCCAGCTACTCAGGAGACTGAGGCAGGAGAATCACTTGAACTTGGGAGACAGAGGCTGCAGTGAGTGGAGATCGCGCCACTGCACTCCAGCCTGGGCGATAGAGTAACACTGTGTCTCAAAAAAAAAAAAAAAAAAAAAAAGGAAAGAAAGAAAAAGAAAAAGAAAAAAAAAAAAGAAAGGGCAAAGTGGCTGGGGCTGAGGGAGGACGATGGAGCGGGGCTGTAAAGAGACCATGGGTACAACTGGGCGCGGTGGCTCAGGCCTATAATCTCAGCACTTTGGGAGGCCAAGGAGGATGGATCACTTGAGGTCAGGAGTTCAAGGCTAGCCTGGCAAACATGGTGAACCCCATCTCTACTAAAAATGCAAAAAAAAAATTAGCCGGGGGTGGTGGCAGGCCCCTGTAATCCCAGCCGAGGCAGGAGAATTGCTTGAACCTGGGAGGCGGAGGTTGCAGTGAGCCGAGATCGTCCCATTGCACTCCAGCCTGGGCAGCAGAGCGAGACTCCATCTCAAAAAAAATAAAAGAGACCATGGGTACGAGGCTTCGGGGTCCATTTTAGGGTAGTCTTTTGGATTTTCTTCTAAAGGCAATTTGTGTGTTTCTACAAAACTGTTCTGGCTGCTGTGTGGATTGGCAGGGCTGGAGTGGAAGCAGGGAGACCAGTTGAAAGGCCACAACAGTTGCCGAGAGAGTGTGGTAATGTAAATGAGACTGCTAGCAGTGGCGATGGAGACATGTGGACAGGTTGTAGGGATGCTGGGAGGGAGGACTAGGCAGTGGAGTGGCTGTAGGCAGTGAGGACAGCGAGGAGTCAAGGATGCTCCAGGTTTCTGCATGGGCACCATGGGAGGACCCGGAGCCATCTCTGGGAAGAGGAAGACCTGGGAGGGACAGGTGAGGGGGCAGCTGGGGAGCTCAGCCTGGGGCATGCTGAGCCGGGACTAGAGATGCAGGGCTTCAGGGCAGAGCCAGGCCTTGAGGGTGGATGTTCCACAGGGGCCAGTGGGAAGGTGGACCCTGTCTATGAGACCTTGCGCTATGGCACCTCCCTGGCACTGATGAACCGCTCCAGTTTCAGCAGCACCTCTGAGTCCCCGACAAGAAGCCTGGTATGGTGGGCAAAAAGGGGGGTCTTTTGTGAAGGGGTGTCTGAGCATGACAGTGGGCTTGGGGGCTGAGCCCTCTCCTCTCTCTGTCCCTAGAGTGAGCGGGATGAGCTGACCGAGGATGGGGAAGGCAGCATCCGCAGCTCTGAGGAGGGGCCTGGTGACAGTGGTGAGTGGCAGTGGGCACCAGGGGCAGGAATGGGGTACAATGGAGGGTGCTCCCTGCTGCCTCTCACCCTCTCCGTCTCCCGCCCCTAGCATCTCCAGTATTCACAGCCCCAGCAGAGAGTGAAGGGCCAGGACCAGAGGAGAAGAGTCCTGGACAGCAGGTGAGTCTGTACGGGCACCGGCCTGGAAGGCCAGGGTGGGAAGTGAGTATAATTTCTCCTTGTCATTGATTCATAGGAGGGCAAGAGCATGGTGCGTGGGGATTCACTGCTTCCTTACTTATCCTCAGGGATGGGCAATGCCAGGATGAAAGGGCATAGGGGGCAGGAGGAGTTACCCTCCCACCCCAGCCCACTGCCCATTGCACCCATTTCTGCTGTCCCAAAGGCAGGCAGCCTCAGGGTACAGCAGGCAGAAGGGGGCTCCCCTCTCCATGCCCAGCCCAGTGCCCTTTGGGGTGGGTGAGCATAGCATGTACAAGGGCCTCACTTCTCCCTGCCGTTGACCCAGGACTCACTGTGTCCTCTCGCAGCCCCCAGGGTAGCACACTCAGAGCGAGTGGAGAGTGGGGGGAGTGAGGGTGGTGCTTTCCGGTCACCGACCCTGAGATTCTCCTGCAGCCCCCCAAAGCCGCCCTGCGGAAGGATGTGGGGCCCATGTACTCCTATGTCGCACTCTACAAGTTTCTGCCCCAGGAGAACAATGATCTGGCTCTGCAGTAAGTCCCCTTTGTGACCTGGCCCCGCTGGGCAGCTCTGTGCTCCTAGACCTTGGAGCACAGTGTGAGGGGGGCTTTCAGGAACCTTCTCCTTGCATGCTTGAGGCTGCTGAGCCCAAACAGGAGCTGGAGCTGCCCAGGGTCTAAGAGTGACTCATGCTAATCTCGTGTCTCCTGCCCTCTGCCTGGGCTGCCCAGAGAGTGCCTGCTGTACCTGTAGTCACACAATGTCCTCTGAGGGCATCAATAATCCTCTCCCAGTGGGGCACGGTGGCTCACGCCTGTAATCCCAGCACTTTGGGAGGCTGAGGCTGGCAGATCACTTGAGGTCAGGAGATCAAGACCAGCCTGGCCAACATGGTAAAGCCCCATCTCTACTAAAAATACAAAAATTAGCCGGGCATGGTGGCAGGTGCCTGTAATCCAGTTACTCGGGAGACTGAGGCAGGAGAATGGCTTGAACCCGGGAGGCGGAGGTTGCAGTGAGCCAAGATCATGCCAGTGCACTCCAGCCTGGGCGACAGAGTGAGACTCTATCTTAAAAAAAAAAAAAAAAAAAAAAATCCTGTCTCCCAGCTGAGGACTGCAGGTCCCCAGGAGGTGCCCAGGGGCTGCTAGGACAGGGAGGGGCACGACTCCCTGCTCCAAATGAGACCCTAGCTCTGTCCTCCCCAGGCCTGGAGATCGGATCATGCTGGTGGATGACTCTAACGAGGACTGGTGGAAGGTGACTTGGCAGGGTGGGGAGTGGAGGGACCCTGGTAGGCACCCCAGCAGCCCCTACCCCCAATAGGCACTGCCCCCACCTTCTCTCCAGGCCCCAAAGACAACCTCTCCTCCAACCACTGGTCCCAGCCAAAACTAGGACCAACCCTTGGGACGTCCTCTCAGTTTTGACTCTCCTTGCTTCAGCCTTGTCCCTCTGCTCACCTCATGCCATTCCTGGCCCAGAAGGCACGTGGGTGGGGGCTGGAATACAGAGAGCCCCAGATCTGGAGGATGATGGCATTGGCGCTGAGTGGGAACCGGGTCTTGAGAAAGCAGTGGTGGGCAGCAGGGGTGGGGTGTGGTGCGGGTGCTCATTGCCAACCTCATCCCCAGGGCAAGATCGGCGACCGGGTTGGCTTCTTCCCAGCTAATTTTGTGCAGCGGGTGAGGCCAGGCGAGAATGTTTGGCGCTGCTGCCAACCCTTCTCCGGGAACAAGGAACAGGGTTACATGAGCCTCAAGGAGAACCAGGTGAGTGCCTGAGGCCCAGCCCAGGCCCTACGGCGGAGGGAAGGAGTGGGTGGGGGAGACAGGCTGTGGTGTGGGGGCAAATGTGCTCTAGGAGGAGGCTGATCCTGGCAGCTGGGGGGAAAGTGGGTTAGAAAGAAAGCGTTGCAGGGCCCTCCTGCCAGCCCCTGTTGGGGAATTTGGGCTGGTGACCAACAGAGACAGGAGACTGAACGACATAGGAGGGAGCTTGGGTTAGAGCAGGAGCACTGGATTCAGAGTCTAAAGCTCAGGTTTGAATGCTAGCTCTGGCTTTTTGTGTAATTTGAGGCAAGTCCTTTTCCCTCCACCCGCTCTGTGATGGGGGTGAGGCAGGGCAGTACTCTCCAAGGTCAGCCCTGAAGCACTGCTTGGCATCTGCTGATGTCCTGGTCTTGCTGCTGAGGCCTCTACACTTGTGGGATCTGGTCCCATCACTCCAGCAAAGGGCTCTATCCACATCTGACACTGGTCCCATCATCCCCCAGGGTGGGTCCCCTGGGGGCCATGGGCAGGACTCAGGGCCAGGGCTGCAGGCTATGCCAGGCCTCAGCTCCATGTCTCTTTGGCTCAGATCTGTGTGGGCGTGGGCAGAAGCAAGGATGCTGACGGCTTCATCCGCGTCAGCAGTGGCAAGAAGCGGGGCCTGGTGCCAGTCGACGCCCTGACCGAGATCTGAGAGGAGCCAAGGGAACCCAGATGCCACCCTCGCCCATGCCTGGACCTTGCTTCTGGCCAGGAAGGGGATCAGGCCCCCTTGTCCACTCCATACCCTTCCTCCCTCTTTCTCTCTCCTAAGTGCCACTTACTGTGGCTTAGGAGCCTTCTGTACTGAGGAAGATTTTATTTCTTGGGTGGGGTGCCCTGAGTGGGTTGATCCTCTGGGACTTGGCAGGGATGGGGTGGGGTGGGAGGGAATGAGGAAGCTACAGGTAGGTCCACCCAGCGCCCAGGCACCCCAGTCCACTTGCCGGGCTGAGTCCAGCCCTGAGGAAGGTTCCTGGGGAATTTCTTTGCTGCTTCTCCCAGCCTTCCCCTGCCAACACACCCTGCGCATGCCTGGCACACCCTCTCCCCACAGAGCCTCTGCTTGGGTCTATGTGTGTGTGACCGTGCATCTGCTCCTTTGCAAGTGGGGTCTTGGGAGCAGGCCTTTTTGTGTCCTCGGCCCTCCACCCTAGGTGGGGAGGGGACCCAGGGCCATAGGAAGGTCCTGAGTCTACCTCCTGGTCTCCACCTCTGTCATTCCGTCAATTCTCAGGAAAGTTTTGCAGGAATCGCTCCCATTACTTGAAACCTGGGCCGACAGAGGAGGGGAAGGCTGAGGTCCCTGGAAGGTGTGACAAATCAGAGACTGTCCCTTCAAGTAGAAAACCCAAGAGCTGGCCTGGTGTGGAGGCTCACGTCTGTAATCCGAACACTTTGGGAGGCTGAGGTGGGTGGATCACCTGAGGTCAGGAGTTCAAGACCAGTCTGGTCAACATGGTGAAACCCCGTCTCTACTAAAGGTACAAAAATTAGCCAGGCATGATGCGGATCTGCCTGTAATCCCAGCTACTCCAGAGGCTGAGGCAAGAGAGAATCACTTGAACCCAGGAGGCAGAGGTTTCAGTGAGCCGAGATTGCGCCATTGCCTTCCAGCCTGGGCAACAGAGCAAGACTCTGGCTCAAAAAAAAAAAAAAAAAAAAAAGAAAGAGAAAAAGAAAAGAAAACCCAAGAGCTACCTGGACACACGGAAACCCAACTGAGAACAAAACCCTGGCCCATGCTTGGTCAAAGCAAACCCATTTCACTGTCAGGACCCCTGGTCACACAGGAACCACCCGCCAGGGAAGCCTGTGACTGTCAGTTCCTGTCCCAGGCTTTGCCCGGCCGCCCCAGGAGTCCAACCCTCTGGGCTGACCTTTCTCCCACTTCTCTCCAGGCTCTGCAGGGGACAGGGCAGGTGCTGCAGGAGCCCCTTTGCTGGCTTTATCTGCTCCCTTGTTCTGGACACAGAGCCCTGGGAAAAAGACGGGTGGAAGACAGACAAGGAAGGTGGAATGTTCTATTTGGCCACCAGGAAATGGGGTGGGTGGGCATACACAGAGAGGACCCCTCTCTTAATACAGGCTGCTTTTCTCGGTGCCAACCTCCCTCCCCCAAGCTCAGATCCTCCTCTTATGCCCTTGATTGTGCCAGCCCATGCCACCCCCGTCCTGGGCACAGTTACACCCTCCCATGCAGTGGGAGAGACACAGACCCTCCTACCCAAAGGCCCCTGCCCCACTTCTCCCCCGCAAAGCGGGGTCTCAAGCCACACTGCCCTGTTTGCTGCCATGAGGCCCCCCCAGCAATATCCCAGGGGCGGGCCCAATGCCCACTGTACATGAGGCTGCATGATGGGTCTGGGGCCTTGCTGAGCCCCCAGACACCTAATTAAATGTTTCTTGTCCCAGCCCATCTTCTCTGTGTCTCTCACTGGGGCAGAGGAAGGAAAGGGGCAGGGAGGCGGGGAGTGGGGTCTGGGGATACTGAGAGGGACAAGGCTGAGGGTGGAAGGATTCCTCCATCTCTGAAAGGAGGGGTGCTGGGCAGGCGGCAACATAGCAGGGGTCCCAGGCCTCATCCCCTTCCTCCAGCAGCCCGAGGAGGGTGGGGTCTGGGGAGAGCCAAAAGGGGACCTGAGGAAAGTGGGAGGAGGTCTGGGGACGCTGGAGGGAAACGGCTTGGGTCTGCGGTCACTTTCCGCCTCCACCTGCACCTGAGTCGCGCGAGGGCGGACACACTCCTGCGCGCCAGGGCCGTCGAGACCGATCTTGCTCACCCAGAGGTGCCCTCCGAGGCCGGGCGTGCCAGGGGTCTGGGAGGGCTCAGTACCCACCCGAAGTCAGCCTCGCCCCCGCAGTCCCCCAAGCCGGAGACAGAAACGCTGGCGGCGGGGACAGTCGTGGCCCGTGGGGCCACGGGATGAGTCAGTCGCGCCTGTCATCGGAGCCCAGCACGGAGGGGCCGCACCCCTCCCGCTGCCGCGCCCGCCGCCCACCGCTCTGGCAGAGCTGCCTCCTTCCCCTCTGCCTGCCCAGCCGCGTCATCACCACGGCGAGCACGTCCCGTGCTATTTATAGGCGGAGGGGAGCGGGGCGCGAAGGAGAGGCGGGCTGCGGGGGTGCTGGGGCACTGCTGGCGCTGCCGGGATGCAGAGTGGGGGCTGTCTTTCCTGATGAGCGCCCCCTCCTCCACCGGTTCTGGTTCACAGCCCCCGCCCCCTGAGTAAGGTAGGCCAGGTGGGCCCAGACCTTGGGTCCTCTCCTTGAGCTTTCTTTGGGAGGTTGGGGTTGGAGAGAGCCGGGAAAGGAGGGTGGCCCTCCCTCCTAGGATCCCCAGCCGTGGGAGTGGAAGAAGGGGTCATAAGCCCAGTGTGAACGCTTAAAGAGAGGAACTCATAAATAGGCACCTACTGTGCCCAGGGAACCGTGCCAGGAACTTGATGTTACTTAATCCTCTCCAGGACCCCGGGAGGCGAGTGGGGGTGTCCTCCTCTCACAGGGAAGAACTGAGGTACAGCCAGGTTAGGTGGCTTATCCAAGGTCACACAGATTATCCAGCTCAATCCTGCCCTCTTTATACATGGGGAAACTGAGACCTGTAGTGGGCTAATGACTTGTCCAGGATCACCCAGCAAATTCGTGATCAAGCCAGTCTTGGAAACTGTGGCTTTTTCTTCTCAGTTCAGCTCTTTCCCTCCCCTGCCCTGGCTTCCTCAATGCCTTAAACCAACAAAATGGAGACAGAGACACCCTGAGAGGCTGGGCCAGAGGCTCCAGGGATCAAGAGCCTGAGAGCCTTGCAGCCACACTTTCTGCACACCCAGCTGTGTGTCTGCCACCAGCCGGCAGCTGGCCTGGACGCCTACCCCACTCCAGCCTATTTGCCGCACTGCTGAGCACAGCAGCTTTTTCGGGTGGCTGAACCCCCTGCAGCATGCTCACAGCCTAGGGCCTGGGAACAGCTGGTGCCCCATTGTAGCCTTTGCCCTCCTCTGTGCCCACTCTGGGGGTGGACGGACCAGCAACACCACTGGCCTGGGGCAAAGGATGCCTAGGAAGCTACTGGTGATGCCATCCCACCATTTGGCTCTGTTGTCTCTGACCCACATGTGCCCTTCATGCCCCCCCACCCACAGGCTGAGCTTCACCTGGCTTGTACTGACTGTGTGGGATGAAGGTTCCCTGGACTTCGGGGAGATGCAGAAAGAGGAGGGAGTCTGGAGAGATGAATGCTGGAGGTGGAGGGAAGAGAGAATCAGCCCCTCTGTGCAACCCCACCCATTTTGCCAGCACTGCTTCCTTTGGCCCCTTCAACCTTCTTCATCCCCATTCTTACCCCCTGCCCACCCAATGCCTAGGCAGATGGGGGCACCTGCCGAGGAGTGCAAGGAAGGCAGCCTAAGCCTCCCTGTGCTTTGCAGGAAGCCAGCCTAGGTTAGCCCTGCCGTAGCCTCAGAGACAGCACTGGAAGGAGGCCAGGCCCCTCTGTATTCTCTTCTTCAGCTCACAGCCCTGCAGTAGCAGCTGTGCTCAGTGCCTCTGCTGCACCCCAATCTGAATCACACCCTCCCACGTCGGGAGACTGCAGCCCGGGAATCAGAGTCAGGCGCCAGTGTTCGTGCAGCACTGAGGTTCTGCACACCCCACTTGTGTCTGCCACCAGCCAGTAGCCAGCCTAGTCCCCCCACCCCCTAGCCTGTTTGCCGCACTGCTGAGCACAGCAGAAGAGTCACTGGCTCCTCTGGGTCTCTGTTCCCTCCTCTAGAAAATCAAGCGTTGGGTTTGCTCAGGAATTCTTTACGTGGTGAGGGTGTGGGTCACGAGCTCCTTGAAAGAGTGTGGAATATTATGATAGGAACACTTGTATGATCTTGAAAGAAAAAACGTATTTTTTTTTTTACTTTTTTTTTCTTTTTTTTCTCTGAGATAGAGTCTCACTCTGTCGCCCAGGCTGGAGTGCAGTGGCTCAATCTCGGCTCACTGCAACCTTTGTCTCTTGGGTTCAAGTGATTCTCCTGCCTTAGCCTCCCAAGTAGCTGGAATTACAGGTGCACCACGACTGGCTAATTTTTGTATTTTTAGTAGAGCCAGGGTTTCACCACGTTGGCCAGGCTGGTCTCGAACTCTTTTTTTTTTTTTTTTTTTTGAGACGGAGTCTCATCCTGTCACCAGGCTGGAGTGCAGTGGCGCAATCTCGGCTCACTGCAACCTTTGCC